TTCTCCAGGGCTCGAGATGGCAGTTGGGAGGGAAAGTGTTGTATGGCAGACACGCTTCATCCAGGCAGGAGCTACAATGGGCTGGGTGTGTGGTCAGCATTGATTAGTCCCTCACACGGAGATTCTCAGCACTCAAGAGGCTGAACCAGGAGGATCCAGAGCTGGAGGCCAACCTGGGCTGTATCTGAAGACTCCATCATACCAAAGCAACCAGGAGCTGAAAAGGGGGGAGTGAGAGTCAAAACCTGGGTGTGAGGCACAGACACGAGGATACAGGATGTGAATGCAGGGGTGTGGACTTCTGCTGCAAGAGAGAGGAGGCAAGAAGGAAGGAGGGGGAGGAGAGGGGGAGGGGGGCAAGAAGGGAGGAAGGAGAGAGAGGGGAGAGGGAGAGGGAAAGAGAGGGGGAAGGAAGGAGAGAGAGAGAGAGAGAGAGAGAGAGAGAGAAAGATTGAGAGCACAGAGTTGGTCCTGGGGAATTCTGGAAGAATTTAAAGGGGGCAGGGCGACGATGAAAAGATGAAAGAGTGTAGAGATTCTCCTAGAGGATGCCAGGATTCTGGCTCCGAAAGGACGAAATTCCTAGGTTTCTCAGCCTCCAGGGAGGCAGTCTTTGAGAGGCCCAGGACCTAGCCAATGACTATGCAGTCCACAGCTCCTCCCCCTCCCCCCCATCCCTTCTGGCCAACAGGACGCGCCTGGGCTGCTCAACAGCCTCTGCCCTAAGTATGAGCTTCCCCAGAAACCCTTCCCTGATTCTGACATGAATTCTGATGCTTGCTGAACCCCAGCTGCTGGCTTCCAGGAGCGGTACTAGGGAGCCCTGAGGAGTCGCTGCTCAGGTAAAGGCCTCTATACTCAGATGTGCCCAGGACTCGGCACGCCTCGTAGGGAAAAGCACACCAACAGGGACGGAGCCTCCTCTGGAGGAGGCTGGAGGGAGGTTGCCTGAATGAATGGGCCATCCCTGGTTCCTAGGGTGAAGGGAAGCCCTGCTCCCTCTGTTCTGGGCTCTTCCTCCTGCCCCCAGTGGGCAGAGGTGACAGAACCGGGGGCCTGGAGCTGAGTGGGAAAGAGGCTGAGCAGGGCGGAGCTGGGCTGCAGACCGAGCAGCAATGCCTGAGCCTGCAGAGCCCTGGGGTTAGGGCTAGGCTTCCCTGGGTGTTCCCTAAGTCTCTGCCAGCTCCACCCACCGGAGACGGGACTGGGCAGAGGAGCCAGTGACTCAAAGCAAGGCCACCATGTGGCCAAGTGGTGAGTGATGTAGACAGATGGCGTGAGGCATTGAGACACCCCCAGACGCTCTCACCCCAGACCAACCCGGCAGAGAAAGGAGATGAATTGGAAGAGCAAGCAGTCCCCTAATACTTAAGGAAAGGACCCCAACTCAAAACTGGACAGTTTGCAGAGTGAACTCGGGCACCAGCCTGCCTAGCAGCAAGTCCCGACTCTGTTACTTACTAGCTAGGTAAGGCCAAGGAACTGCTCAACCTCTCTGACCTCCTCTAGGTAAGAAAAACACCATAGCCCTGGCCATGGAGGGAATAATACTGGTTTTTGCAAAATGCTTTGAGCAGTGCCCCTTACTGCATAAACACGATCTGAGTTGGCTGCGGCCACACCCTGCTTTGCAGCTGCCCCTTCAGCTCACGTGGATCGTGACTTTCCACCCAGGCCAGCACGTAAGTGTGTGACTCCCTCCTTTAATCAAAACTTCTTAGAGTGAGCCCACGGTGCCTTGGCCTCGGTGGACCCCCATCATCTCCCCAAGAATCAGAAAGAGAGTGCTCCCTAGTGGAGAAGTAGGAACGCTTTGGTTCAAAAGATGAATTGGCTTCCGTGGATCATTCACGCCAAGTTCACCAGCAGAACCCACCCAAACACCATTTTCCGTGCTGGTGTTTGGACAAAGCTGTCCAACAAGCTGATCAAAGCTGTATCTGGATGAAAAGGGGCTCTGTGGTCAGAGGAGTTTGGGTAATGCTGCCTTGTTTCATCCCTCTTTGAGGGAGTCACAAAGTGAATTTATTAGCATGGGTGAGTAAAGGAACCTACTTAATTTTGCTGAGCCCAGCTATTTGCCAGGTTGCCTTGAACACAGAATCGTTTTCTCTCGCAACACCTGTTGTCTGCCTCTGGACCAGGGTGCCATGAAACAATAGTTGGCATTGGCCCATCTGCTTGCTCTGGAGAACCTCTTGTATAAAGAGCACTGTGGTTCCCTATTTTAATCTAAATTGTCCTGCCTTCAGGTAAGTGGCACCTAATTGCCTGGATATTTGCAGTTCCGTCCCCTAAACCAGCAAAGGACAGAGAGTAGGGTCCCCTGGGGGGGGGGAGGATCTAAGGGGGACTATCCCAAGAATCAGGGACTCAGGATGACTGGTTCCTGGCCTCAGCACACACCCACTTTTATGAGCAGGCCTGCTCTGATTTAATAACCTATGCCGCCATGCCAGGTCTGCATCTAATAGTCACGTAACTTCATAAACGCCTCTAAACCTCAGTTTCTCTCAGCTGTAAAATGGGGGGTGATTATGGTACCTAGTGCTGTGATGACCCATTTCTGTGAAGTGCTCAGACTGAGCATTCCATAACGTGGGAAATTCACATTCTCGTTCCTCTGCAGGAGCAGCCCACCCTTGCGTCCATCATGAACTGGAGCATCTTTGAGGGGCTCCTAAGTGGGGTCAACAAGTACTCCACAGCCTTTGGTCGTATCTGGCTGTCCCTGGTCTTCGTCTTCCGAGTGCTAGTGTACCTGGTGACAGTCGAGCGTGTGTGGGGTGAAGACCAGAAGGATTTTGACTGCAACACCAGGCAACCAGGCTGTACTAACGTCTGCTTCGATGAGTTCTTCCCTGTGTCTCATGTGCGACTTTGGGCTTTGCAGCTCATCCTGGTCACATGCCCCTCCCTGCTTGTGGTCATGCATGTGGCCTATCGCAAAGCTCGAGAGAAGAAGTACCAAGAAGAAGTAGGCATGGGACACCTTTACCTGTACCCTGGCAAGAAGCGAGGTGGACTCTGGTGGACGTACGTCTGCAGCCTGCTGTTCAAGGCCAGCATAGATGTTATTTTCCTCTACCTGTTCCACGCCTTCTACCCCAAATACACCCTCCCTTCTGTGGTCAAGTGCCATGCAGCACCGTGTCCCAACACAGTGGACTGCTTCATCTCGAAGCCCTCAGAGAAGAACATCTTCATCATCTTCATGCTGGTCACGGCCGTCATCTGCATCCTGCTTAACATTGTGGAGTTGGCCTACCTGGTGATAAAGCGGTGTTCTGAGTGCATGGCTTCGAAGCGAGCACTCGCTGCACACCCAGAGCACGACCCAAGCTGGGTCAGCTCTCCAGGCAAACAGAAGGACCTCCTATCAGGCGACCTCATCTTTCTGGGCTCAGACTCTCACCCACCGCTCTTACCAGACCGTCCCCGTGCCCATGTGAAGAAAACCATCCTATAAAGGGTCCCTAGGCTGGACTGGCAGGGTGGGCATGAACTGGAAGGTTCCAGTGTCTCTCATGGGTGTATCTGGTGGGGAGAAGAGCCGAGTTGGAGGCAGGTCAAAGGATGGACTCCCACAGCTTGGGATGCACCCGTCCCTCAGCTCTAGGCCACTTGTCCTGGCTGAGTGGCCTTCACTGAATTACCCCTCTATTTTGTACCTCAGTTTCCTTTTCTGTTAAATAAACAAACTGAATGCCACTTAACTGGGCTTCACAAGGGGGAGGAGTTTCATGAGGGCACAGATGAACAAATGCCTTCCACGTGTGTGGCCCAGGGTGAGAAATTAATAAAGATAAATGTGTTCACAGATTCAAGGCGCCCTTTGGTCTTGGCCTTCATGGAGTCGAGGGGTCATCCTCTCCTCCAGAAAAGGGGTCTCTAGCTTTTCCTGGGGACTGTTCCAAAGCTAACCTTTTGCCCAAGCTGGAAGCGTGGGCTGTGGGTGTCTATAGAGATGATGGAGTTTTGGCTCATGAAGAGCTGCACATTGCGATGCAATGCGCCTAGACTCGAGTCGGTGTGGCTGCTTCAGAACGCAGACAATTTCAGCTCCTCCTCAAAAGGAGCTATCAAATGCATAGCCTGTAGGGGGTCACTGTGAGCATCGACAAGCTCCTGGCAGTACCAGGGTTAGCCAGCCAAGAAAGGCCACATCCATGTGAATCATCGCTATTAGGAAGTGTTCAATAAATGCTTGTATGAAATGAGGCAGGGGCCCCTCCCTGGGTGCACACTAACCTTCACTGTCCCTGCGGAACACAAGCCCAAGACCCCCCTCCCCCCCCCCCCCCCCCCCCCCGCTGTAAGCGCCTGCTGGGTGGCACTCCAGCTTCCCCAGGGACATTTCCAACAGACAGGCCTAGGACACAGAGGGCACACAACAAGCCTACATGCTTGGCCCCAAGCCAACAGCAGTGCTTCGTGTCACCAACCTCATTCCTTGTCTCCAGCAGGGCAGTAGGTGCCCTGGTCTAGAAAAGCCAGGTGGCTTGTCTAGTTTCCAAGACAGAGCAGCCTAAGATCCTGTCCCCAGATACAGTCCCAGCAGGGACAGGGACGCTCACAGTCCTGGGCTGAATCAAAGGTGTCCCTTTCCATAGAAACCAGCCGCTGAGGACCTCAGAACCAGTCGCCTGAGGGCTGGGCAAAAGAGAGAGTTGGGAGCCAGGGGACAGATAGGACAAGCTGAAAGGGACAGGCACAGGATCCGTGACACTCGTACCATCCTGCCCCTGGACGATTTGACAACAGACTCTGCCTCCTCCATCACTATAGTCCCACCCACATACCTACCAACCCAGACGGGCTGGAGGAGCAAGGTGTGAGCCACAGGTGTTCGCTCTGCCTCGTGCCCAAGGAAGTCCTTCCGCCCAGCCTGCCTACCCACCCCGGCACTCTCTCTCGGCTCATTGGCTCAGAAAGCCCCACCCTGCTTGGAAATAAGGAACAAAAGCTGCCTCCAGGAGGCCCTCGGGCAGACAGACAAGCCGGCACCGGAGAGTGAGGACCCACGGGGACCCAAGAAGGGTGAGGATCATAGAGAATTGCAGACATCTGGGGGAAAGGTCCCAGGGAACCTAAGCCTGGAGACTTAGCTCCACAGAGGGGGCAGGAGAGGACAGGGTTCCTGAGGGAACACTAGGAAGCCTCCACAGAGGGGAAGAAATGTTGTGCTATACTAAAGGGAGGCCAGAGGACCAGAGAAGAATCTAGAAGCGGTTGGGAAGAATGAGGCTGCAGTTGGGTTTAATAAGCAACCATTGAGAGTGCATGGGACCAGCCAGAGAGCTGGGTCCCAGGAGGCAGATGTACAGCTCGGCTTCCAGCCGCTCGCAATCTAACAAGGAAGACATTTGACTGGGCCACTGGAGTCCATGGGATGTACCCTGCAGGGGAAGACGGAGGGGGTTCAGCACGTGTCCCAGGGATACATGGCTGCAGAATCTAGGAGCTGAGTCAGGAATGGTGCAAGGAGGGCTTGAGATGGAGCATCCTAGGAACTTCATCCCCGGGGGATGGCAAAGTTAGGGTACACAGAACATGCCTGTCTGAAAATAATGGGAGATGCTATTATCAGACAGCCACTAATTAGGCAGTCAGAGAAGAGGAGTGTACCTGGGAACAAAGATCAATGACAGGGCAAAGACCACACCAGGACCCAGCCCATCTCCTCCCCATCTCTTACACACACACACACACACACACACACACACACACACACACACCAAAAAATGGTTGGAATTCCAAGAGGAACCCACTGTGACCCAGATTTCAAGACAATAAAAAAAAGATGAATAAGTAAGTGTGACCATCTGCTTTGCTCGGACACGGCAGGGAGGGAAAGATGCCAAGCCACAGAGAATGCCGAAGAGCCCGTGTGTAGTCTGGGAAGGGATGCCGCTGAGAAATCCCAGAGCTACAAAGGAGGGAGGAGGGAGGCTGTTCTGAGATATAGATCACAGAGCCAGAATGGGCATTCCCAACACAGGGCCCTGCCCGAGCTGGGTCCAGGAAAACTTCAACAGTTCTGACCACCAATAAAGGCCTTCCTTGCCCTCATGTAGTCCCCAGAGCTAATGGGAGAGCAGACAGTCTGATGCTAGACAGGGAGCCTCTATGGCTGAGACCTGGGAGGAAAGGGGCTGGCTGGCGTGTGCGTGTGTGATGCTCATCATATCCCATGTGCTTGTTCGTTTGTAGAAGGAAAGAGACCCTGACTTTTGGAGTCTGAAGACCAGGGCTCAAGACCATCTGTGCTACTTGCTGCTGGGAGATCTTGGGCAGGTACCTGCCACCTCTTAGCCTTAGGACACTTTTGCCATGACATGGGGACTGTGGCCATCCCTTCTCTGAGTCATTGCGAGTGAGGACATGATGGCCGAGTGGTTGCGGTGAAACAGGTTCTGGCTTTGGCATCACCTATAAGGACTCCCATTCGCGTGTTCTCCCAGGCCTTGTGACTCCCAGGGCCAGAGAGGTTAGCACACTAGTGCACACACATCCACGTTAGACACCAAGGGCACAGCCAACATGAACTGGGGGTTTCTACAGGGACTCCTGAGCGGCGTGAACAAGTACTCCACCGCCCTAGGCCGCATCTGGCTGTCGGTGGTTTTTATCTTCCGAGTGCTGGTGTATGTGGTGGCTGCCGAGGAGGTGTGGGATGACGAACAAAAAGACTTTATTTGTAACACCAAGCAACCAGGCTGCCCCAACGTCTGCTATGACGAGTTCTTCCCGGTGTCCCACGTGCGTCTCTGGGCCCTGCAGCTCATTCTGGTCACCTGTCCTTCCCTGCTTGTAGTCATGCATGTGGCCTACCGGGAAGACCGGGAACGGAAGCACCGCCGCAAACATGGGCCCAACGCCCCAGCCCTGTACAGCAACCTGAACAAGAAGAGGGGTGGCCTGTGGTGGACATACCTGCTAAGTCTCATCTTCAAGGCTGCTGTGGACTCGGCTTTCCTCTACATCTTCCACCGCATCTACAAGGACTATGACATGCCGCGGGTGGTGGCTTGCTCTGTGAATCCCTGCCCCCACACCGTGGACTGTTACATTTCCCGACCCACGGAGAAGAAGATCTTCACCTACTTCATGGTAGTCACGGCCGCCATCTGTATCCTACTCAACCTCAGTGAGGTTGCCTACCTGGTGGGCAAGAGATGCATGGAGGTCTTCCGCCCCCGGAGACGGAAAGCCTCTCGGAAGCACCATTTACCAGATACGTGCCCGCCATATGTGATATCCCAAGGAGGTCACCCACAAGACGACAACGCTGTCCTCACAAAGGTTGGGATGGCCACAGTAGATGCAGGTGTCTATCCATGACTTGCAGGTAGGCTTAACTGATCACTGCCTGTTCACTGAAGTCACCCAAGAAACTAGGCAAAGGGGGTGTAGTCTTCTGCAACAGGTCAGGTAGGAAATATGGCCTTGGGGCTTCTGGAAGTTCATCTAAGAGCTAGTGGAAGATGGGAAACACCTTTGAGTTATCCCTAAATCTTGAGCCTCCAGGGACTTGATGGCTGGTGGGGATTTTTTATTTGTCAATTGAGTACTTCAACTCCTTAATAAATACAATGTTCTCAGTACTTTGAAGACAGGTTGTGTGTGATTCAGGCTGGAGAGGTGTGGGGGTGATGTTTCAGGTGGGCCTCTTGGGGGAAGCCAAGCCACTAGGTGATCATCCAATCCCCAACCTCGCACACCATACCACACACACACGCACACCAGGACATGGAGAAGAACAGCAAAGACAGGGCCTATACCAGGGGCCTCACAGCTCTGAGGCAGAAAGACAGGGAGCAATGGAGACCCTGATCTGGTTCTCAGAGAGTGTAAGTCCCTCCACACATTGTGTGTGGTTCAGGAGGTCTTTGCCTTCCATTTCCTGAGCTCCCTAACCCTCCTCAATGCAGGTCCCATGTAGGGAGCACCTTGGAGGGTGGGAGAATGGTGTTGAGAGTAAAGGCAAGATGGTGTCTCCCCAGGGTCTAGAGGACATGCCCATCGATCCTCAGCCTTCCCTGAGTCACCTCATCCTCCCCTGCCCATACATACCTTGGCAGTCCCTTAAACATCTCCTTATCGTGGACCTGCCTCTGAGTCTACAAGTTGCCCTTGGGAAGCTCCCAGGGAAAACCCTTCATAGTACAGCTAGCTCCTCATTGGCTTTGCCTTCCTCCCTTCCAGCTGCCCTCCTCACAGAGACCCTGTCCCCTTTATGTAGGGCACTGCCATTGTCAAGCTGTCCAAACCAGGAACTGGCCTAGGATCCTCACTTAGTCTCTCCCCTGCATCAGCTCCTCGCGGCCCACATCCCAGCACAGCACCACAGAGCCCTGATTCCAACCTCTCTGCCCCCCTGAGTTACCTCCTCTGTCACCCCACGACCTTCCATCAATCCTCCCACAGGGCCTCTCAGGTCTCCCCCCTCACCTGGGTAGAATGATTGATTACTCAGTCATGACTGCGACCACGCCATTCCTTCAGGTTTGACATTTCTTCCAGCACACCCACCCCTAACCCCATTGCCCCCAAGCTGGCTCTGCTGACCTCCCTATTCCTTCATGGCTTCCTCCCTCAGTTTATGACTGATAACATCTAGGTATTCGTGATACTATGCTTGTGCCTCCAACTCTTACCATACGGATCCCTCTGCTTGGAATATCCGACCTGCCTCCTCTGCGAATGTCCTCAACCCAAGGACAGCCTTCACCACCACTTTGTAGGCCATAAAAGCTCAGGCCTCTCTCCTGTCATACTCTCTGGGATGGACTAGCTAATACCCATGAGCGATACCCGGCAGTCTGTGAGCCCACGAAGGACAGGATGCTGAGTCACCAGGTCCTCTCAGCATTCAATAAATGTTTGTTAAATGAGTAAATTGGCTGTGAGCCTCATGGAGAAAAACCGTGTCTTGTTTATCTGAACCCCCTGTCACACCTAACCTGGGAAATCAGCAAAGTAGTTTTACCTTTGTTGACTTTTTATGGTTGACTAAATCTAGTTTAAACATCCTGGTTAAAAGTAGGAAAAATCTCCAAGCCCACTGGATGGCCTCTATGCTTTATCCTGATTGGGAACAAGATCAAAGAGTCACCTGTCTTATGTCAAGCTCCCTGGAAGCAGAGCTACAGACAAGGATTTGGTACCTAAGATGGGCAGAGCAGGAAAACAAGGCAGGAAGGGCTGGGCTAAGCTGTTTAAGCAGCCAGGGCCCTAGAGCTTGCCAAATTTGTAAGAGGGGGTCATAAATGCCACCACAGAGTGGTCCCCCTGGATACACAGTACTGGTCCTTTGAACTCTCCTACAAGCCACTGGTTTGACCCGACCCTGGAACTAGCAGGAAGCTTTGGTTCAGTCAACATCTCTTCTCCAGGAGCTGCTAACTTGAAAGATAGGGATCGGTGTTGGGACACCACCACCTCCTGGGCGGCTGACTCTAGGAGACAGGGGTGGCTCTAACCCTCATCAGCCCAGAACTGTAACCACCCAGCCCAGGCACCCTCAATAGAATCAGATGGCCCTACACTGTTGAGACCAAGACAGCTGCCAAGTCCAGACCAGAGCACAATACCCCTGAAAGGCTAGAAGCCCACTCCAGGAGTTGCTGTCAGGTTCGGCATGTTGTGAGCTCACCCTGTGACCTGACCATTCCCATAATTCCCTCACATTCTAGAGATCTCCTGAAACACTAGCCAAGTGGAGAGCAACTATTGTCTGACCAGCCAAAGACTCCAGAGGTGACGGAGATGATCATGGAGGTACTCCCTGGCCACTTGGATGTCTCATCCTGTGTCCCCCACATTCTCAAGCACCCCTACCATTCTTGCCTCCACTCAAAACTCTACCTACTTGAGAAATCCCCATGTTTCCCTTTTGTCTTCTTGCCCACTCTTTCCTGTTCCCAATGCTGCTATGCCCTTCTCATTCATTCAAGACTGAGCCCGTGTCCAGAGATCTTCTCTTCCTAGCCCTTGTCAATGACCCAAGGCCTCATGGGCCACTTGTGCTTCACCCTACCCTCTTCATCCCTTGACTTCCTTGTCCTCTGAGACACTCAGCTTCCCACTCAGAAGATGCCAGACCTTGTCATCACCCACAGGGGCTCCACCCTTAGGACCTCCTCTTGGATTCAAGTCTACAGATATCGATGGCTTAGATTTATGTCAAATCTCCACGCTGGGTTCTGGGAAGAATCAAACCTCCTCCCTGGGTTCACACAGCTTACATCCTAGAGGGAAAAGATGACGACCAAACGCCTAGTTACCTGGGGAAGCGTCAGGTGCTGGGAGGCAGAAGAGGAGGGCCTGGCATGCAGGCACCTAGGAAAGATCTCCCTGGGTCTTGGAGACCCATAATGGCACTTGGAGAAAGTGAGGGTTTTGCCAAGTGCTGGAGAATTGGACTTTGGATAGAGAGAGATAGCACTTGTGAATCAACAGAGGGTAAATCCGACGGTCGGAAAAAACCCAGGATGGCTGAGTCAGCTGAGGGGCTAGTGTTTGGCATGCGGCTGAGACGGACCAGGAAAGATCATGTAATGTGTGCTTTGTAAATCCCTGCTAGTGATCTTGGACTTCATCCTAAAAGCAAGAACAAGTCCTGGAAAGATTTATCTCGGGGGTGAGGCCTGTGGTTGCAGCGTGGAGCGACTGAGGCAGGGCTACCAATTTGGAGTGTGATGCAATGGTCTGAGAAACCACAACGAAGCGAACTGGGCAGGGTGTGCTCCATGGGCATGGAAGAAAATAACTGGGCTTTACAAGATAGAATCAGAGAGATCTGCTGATTTGCTTGGGTGTGGGGACCAAGCACGGAGAAGAACCGAAGTGACACCCTTCTGTCTCTGAATGGCAATGTCATTGGTGAGTCCGGAGCCCCTGTAGATGTGCAGGTTTGATGGAGCAGAGATGACTTCCTTTTCAGACATGTTAAGTCTGAGATACAAATAAGAAAGCTGGATATTCCCCGTCCTTCCTGGGCGACCGTGACCCCACCCCTAACTCCTCGTCTTTCTCTGTCCTGGAGTAGCTGCTATGGTCCTTGGTGTCTTCACAGCTAAGACATCTGACCCCTCAGTTCTTTGACCTCCTTGCTTCAAACAAGCTTTTCCCTCCCACCAAACCTTACCTATCCTTACCTCCCACGCCTTGTCTGGACCAAGATCAGCCTTATCCTGTCTTACTAACTCGCTCAGCCTGGCCCTCACTAGATCAATCCCTCTTCTGCACCCCTTGCACTGCCCATCGCCCCTCCTCACGGTCTCCCTTCTCTCAGTTCCAGCTTGGACTCGCCCGCCCTGCTCTTATACTCACTGCTGTCTAGGAACTCCCCACCCCTTGCTTTTGCGTATGTCTCTCTCACACTTTACCTGGTGAGATCTTATCCAAGAGACAGCTGTTGCTGGGCCCTCGGAAGAATCACGCAGCTGGACCAGCTGATCTCAGCCTAAACACCTGACGGTGAAGCTCACGTCGGGTACCCAGCATTTCTACGCAATCCTACACTTTCCTGAAACTGTAGCCCAACCCTCCAAGGCGACTAGAACATTCCTTTTCTTTCTCACCCTCCGACCCTCATTCTCACAATCCTAGAGCTTGACTGACAGACAGACATCCCATGTCCCTAAGGAGCAAAAACAGAAAGCAAATTCCAGATCGTCCTAACACGTCTACCACCTCCTTAGTATGCGTGTCCAGTTCCTCTGCCTTCTCTTCTGCAATGTGGAGGAAGCATCCCTGTGTCTGGCACGCCTTTTCCAGTTGACTGGCAGACCCCATCACCAAATCTCACTCCAGACTCTCTTTCTCTCTCTCTCTTTCACAAATCCCCTTTCTGAAAATGTTATTAACTCTTTCTCAACACCACCTCCTCCAGTTAGCTACCATTGATGCAAAGCAAAGTCTTCTAAGAGCTTTATGTGTTTGCCTCCTCTTCCCCATCCCAGGGGTCCCCAATATGCCAAGTCCAGGGGTCAGTCTTCCCATCCCATCTCACTCCCTCACAGTGTCTGGCCATTGAGAGCCCCCTCTCTAAACTCTATCTTCTATTGGTCTCCATGCATCACCCTCCCCTAGCTCCCACCTCACACGGGAGTCTTTGTCACCTCTGGAGGTTCTTCTCTAGTCTCTAAGTCTCTAAACGTAAGATGCCCCGGGGCCTAGTTCTCTGTATTCTTTCCTCCTCTGCACACCCTTTCCCCCTCACTTATGTCACTCAGGACCACAAATAAAATCATCTATATCCTGCTGACTTGTGTGTTCACCGCCAACATCCATGAAGGACACGTGTGCATGTCCAACTTCCTGAAAACAGCCTCACATTCTCCTCATCCTGCCCTTGGTGGAAGATGACCTCCCCACTCAGTCACCTACCCAGTCAAAAACTCAAGCCCAGGAAGATGGCTTGCTTGGGATGAGTGCTTTTTGTGCAGGTATTAGAACTGAATTCAAACCCCAGCACCCACGTAACAATCTGGGCCTGGCTTCTGATGCCCATAACCCCAAGATTGGAGAATGAGGAGGGAGGAGGATTGTTGGTACTTGCAGGCCACCCACCAGCCTAGCCCTGGATTT